ACACATGCCTTTTGTTCAGAGTTATAAAATATAAAAATGTAAATACCTAAAGCTGTAATATATTTGTAAATACTATAAGACAAACTCCAATTAGCCTAGAGCAAATGACCTACGACCGCTCTGACAGACAATGACGATTAGAAAAACTCCAAATCAAAACTAATTCCTTTTTTAAGTTGATCCAAATGATCCCAGTCAGTAGCCAGGCTTCTGGCAGATCCTGAGGAAGATCAGAGGTGCAGCGGTTACTCATTTGAAAAATGTAATATTTGAAGATCGTACCTGTTTGTATCTCCGCATCACTTTTTGAACAGTTGAGCGCTACGAGAAGTCTTGAGAACTATCAGAAGCTCGAAGAATAGTTCTGATCTAACCAAAAGGCACACCTCTGAAGGATTTTTGCAGACCATAACATTTGTAAGTTGTTATATGACTCACTAACCAGTGATGATTTGAATTGCTTTTTCTCCAAATTAGTTTCCATTTTAAATCACCTATTTTCAGAGCAGCAGGGTTGATATGCAAAAGTCACTATAGTTGCAATGAAATCGAAGCCACATGTTGTTATTGAACAATAACATGGGTGCCCACAGGGTGGTGTCAAGAGGCCATGCCTCTTCTCGAAATCCGCTTTGACTTTAATGTTTGCTTATTTAGCATGCTTTCGTGTACAACTTTGAGAATTTATAGGATTTGTCCCCTCCTGAGAAAATTGCTTCCTCTGCTCATCAAAAAAATTTGGGGGCAGGTCAATTTCACAAAAAGTTATCTCTTGATGATGATCAGCACCTCTGGGAAAAATTCCTGAGGGTACCCATGGACAATAATATTATTGTTCTAATAAAAAAAGAAATCTGAAATTGTAGTGACATCAACACAATTCAATTGTCTCCTAATTTTTTATTTATGCAGGTGCCAACAAAGGCTGGGGAATGAAAACATCTGGACCTTAATGATGTTAACACTGATTTGTTTGTAGAAAAATGTCTCAGATTTATATAATGAATACATATTTTTAGGTATTTGCAATATGTTTTTCTTTTGAACCTTTCCAGATTAGTAAGTAGAGTGATCTTATAACAGCTTGTGTTATTGTCGATGCTATTTTAACATACAAAAAAGCACTTATTCGTCAAGATAGCGCAAAATGTTAATAGCACATGCTTGTATAAGATCTCCCATATCCCACCAAATTTCTATATAAAAAAGTATAGCAATCTCAGATTTACATGTAGAGCTGGCAACGTTGAGGGGTATTAATGCAACCATGTCGCACCCCCAAAAAATGTCCCCTGACAACCACACAAATCACCGTGTTGCCATTTAATAGCAATACATCAGGTTCTGCGATATCTATGTCCATATTTCATACATTCAATCTTCAAGAACAATAATTTGAGATAGGTACGTAATATAATTTGACTTTTAAGAATTTGAAAAAAATTAAATAGGAAAATTTATAAAAAACCTGATTTCTTTACGTCAAAAAACTTTATGCGCAGCTTGACAATGAGGCGACATCTATGACATTCATGTAAAAATATACTATCATACAACCTTTAGGAAACTTTATGAGCCAAGTGAGCAAACTTGAACCTTCAGGGGTTGCCACTAGAGGACGGCCAAAGTCGCCCAATACATTTTGGTCCGACTTTGGCCATCACATGTTTGCGTTGTTTTCGACCGGGAACAAGTGTGTTTTTTTTTTCGTGATCAACTTAGCAGGTCGCATTCATTTCTAGGGAAAATGGGACGCTACAAAAGAGTCATAGGACGCAGGAATTACAGCAATTATACCACAGCACAACTAGAAAAGGCACTTCGACTGATTAGATCGGGTGTAATATCACAAAGACAATATTCTACGAGATTCAAAATACCTCGAGCGAATTGCTGAATAAGTTGGAGGGAGTGCACAATAGACCTTCGGTGGCCAGACCGTATTGTCAGTGGAGGACGAAAAAAAATCAAAACAAATCTATTATTTACATCGTCATATGGTTTTCCTCTAGATTCCCTAGAGTTAAGAAAACTTGTGAAATGGTAATCTAGATCGAAAGGGTGTAGTTATAAGCAGATTTACAAATAATCTTCCTGGTAGTGAATGGGTAAGACTATTTTTAAAAAGACATCCAGCAGTGACAAAGGTTTGTTGCAAATATAAAATCCGTTCGGGCCGGCGTTTCATCTGCCGTTATGAATAAATACTTTGATTACTTAGAAGAGGAATTAAGGGGGATTCCACAGACAAATATTTGGAATTACGATCAATCCAACTTATCCGATGACCCAGGTAATAAAAAAGTTTCAACAAAACGGGGCTGCAAATATCCTCAGCGCATCCTGAACTCTTCCAAACAATCAACAAGTCCAATGTTTTGTGGAAATGCTGTAGGCACAGTTTTGCCACCTTATGTTGTTCATAAGGCAACAAATATGTATGATACCTGAATGGAGGGAGGACCAGATGGAACACGGTATAATAGCTCAAAAAGTGGGTGGTTTGAGGGCCATATATTCGAAGACTGGTTTGAACAGTTTTAAAGCGTTTAGAGGGTCCCAAAGTGCTGATTGGCGATAACCTCTCTTCGCACCTAGGTATGCATGTCATAAACCTATATTCACAATATGACATAAAATTCATTTGTTTACCACCTAACACCACTCATCTCAGTCAGCCACTTGACATCGCATAATTTCGGCCGCTTAAAATGAAATAGAGGCAATTCAAAACTGATTACAAACTTAGTGGGGAGCAGATAAAACAATTACAAAATCTGATTTTCCGCATTTGCTTAAATTAGTGACAGACTTATTATTAGAATCAGGAAAAGATAATTTAATAAGCGGTTTCAAAAAGGCAGGAATTTACCCTCTAAACTGAATGAAAATATTGGAGTGAATACAATCAAATGATAATATCGATCCCGATGTCCAGACAAATGTTAGTGCCGCTGTCATCGAACTACTTGAAGAAAGAAGATTTTCCGGTCCAGCAGAACAAACTACAAGGAAAAAAAGTTCAACATAACAGCAGGAAAGATCATTTCAATCCTAGATTTGCAAAACGAACCAGTTGCAGGACTTAGTGGTGTTAAACAAAACATTTTCAACCGCAACAAAAAAACTAGAACAACAATTTCTAGTGATTCCGAAAGCTCTGTTGCTATGTCACTTCAATCGGAGGGAGAGTCTGACGATGACAGTGAAAGTGAGACTAAATTCATACAAGAAAATACAAGCGAAAGCAACACGTGCAAAGGAAGGAATGAAATAAAAATTGGGCAGTTTGTCCTATTTTTATATGAAAAACATATTTATCCTGGGCAAGTTATTGAAATAAAAGAAGATGAGAAGCAATACAAAATAAAATCCTTAACACCTAGTGGATTGTTGCAGTGGAAGTAGCCGAGTAAAGATGAAATCATCTGGTACGAGGAGGAAGACATTTTACAGGTCATAGAGACACCTATTTCGTCCAAAAGAGGTTTCCTTAAAATTCCAGAAGTGGAAAATTATAATTTAGGTTAACCGTGTTATTTTTTATTATTAATTTCCCTTCGAAAGAATTTGTTTTTTTATTTTACCAAAAAATGTGTTTATTTTTAATTTTACCAAAGAATTTGTTTTTTAAATTTTGTCAAAGGATTTGTTACCTACCTTGTTTGCATTTAAATTAAGTTTAAAATACTTTTTTACATCTGTTTAAAAATTCTATAAATAAAACAAAAAAATATATGCCATAAGTATTTTTTATTTAGAAACCCTCAAAAAATACTTCAAACATACTTGGCTATTTTTATCATGGCCAAACTAACATATGCTATGGCGTGTATTTGCGTTTTCTAAATGAAACAACATGTGGCCAAAGTAACCCTACTTCGTCATCTGACTTTGGCCACCCAGGTTTAAAAAAAAAAAATATATTTTTATCTGCTTAGCTCCTTCCCCATTTCAAAGTTCAAAGTACTAATACAAACCCATGAAACGCGAATGGAAACAAAAATTAATATCATTTGGTGTAAAACTTATCACAGTGTATGTTAGAGTTCAAAAGTGGACCAAAGTAACCCAACTTTACGGTATGTTTAAAAGTATATCATAATTTATTAATGATCTAAAATACACGTGACAACCAACCCCAAGCAATGTGACATCCAGCCCCAGCCCCTTGCTGGGGCAAGTTGTCACATTTGTTTGAAAGATTTTAATTTAATATTGTAAATTATTTTACAGCCTTATCGATTTTACATGATGTTCCCAAAGGATAAACCATATTAGTTATGCACCAAATATGTGCATATAACGCTTCAGATCGAATAAAAAAGAGAATTATTGAAAATTGTGACAACTAGCCCCGGTCTCCCCTACTAATATGAAATTCCACTACATTAAGTGGTAGACGGTCTCTGACTGGCGAACGTGGAGGTACCACCTGGTGGATCTCTAAGCCGGACCAGAATGAGTGCATCTTGTACGCGCACGTGTTTCCTTGCTAGAGTCCTGTGGTGTACCCTCATTCCTCTGCAACCGTCTACAGCCTCACGGTACTCATCGCTGTTTTGGCATTAGGCCTTCGAGGTGGTTCAAATATAAAAAAATTCAAATAAAGGCATACGCTCGAAGTCTCAAAATGGTCTTCGAGTTCTCAGCTCACTGTAACAAGGTGTTGTTTCTCTTCATATTGGGACTACATGATAACAGGCTGTAATTCCCCTGTAATTATAAGAATATGATATCGTGTATCTATAACATTGTTCAATGACATCGAGTTCGTCAACTACCATCAGGACTGCTTTTTGAAGTAGAAAGATAAAACTGTGACAGATTTTCACATACATACAATCAACTAACAAATTTCTAGTTAACGTAATTGGGGGAGTATGGTGTGAGCGAGGCGGGAAGTGGGTATAGAGTGGATATGTTCGATGTGATGGAACCATGATATCTTTGAAAGAAGTCAACTCTATTGTTAATACAAAATTATAAATATATTTGATGTCATTAAAACATAACCACTATACAGTTTCATTATTTAAAAGTATCTCATAATTTGGAACTTCACAATTATCTATAACATAGTTGTAATAGCAGTAAAGCTACTAGCATTGTTTTGCTAGTAAAAATATATAAACAGAGCAGATACGGATTCACGATTCATCAAAAACTTCATATTTACTGTATGCACCTATATACTTAAAAAATAGTCAAATGTTCATAACAAAGTCTCACATGCATACGTTACAAAAAAAACTGCATTCAGAAAGACACATCTAAGTACACTTGCTTATACTTAATCTGAATCTTGAGCAACTTCTTGGTCGAAATCACTGTCCATGTCAGAATAAACCTCATAGCACATGTCAAGTTCATCATCAGAATCGGAGTCGGCTTCGACCAGTTCCTTTGGTAGCTCTAGAATTTTCTTTTTCTCCTCCTACAAAAGATGGAAGGGAACAGCATAATAGATCCACCGATAAACTGCTTCTCTAATATCATACAGATATCTATTTTAAAACACGTTACTAACAGCAGGAGACGAGGTCTGTAAATTAAGCGTAAAGACTTTTTTTTTAATTATTATATTGAAATGTAATTACAATTTTATAAAAAACTTCCTTCTGAAGCAACACTTCTCTGGAGTTGGTTCTTCCACTCCTCTTATCAGTGCTGGAACTCCGATACTGGAATAGCCTTCAGCTGGTCGGTTAAAGTCGTTTGAATGTTTTAGACTGTCCCAAAATGGATTCGCTTGAGATGATTTTTCAACTTTGGGATAAGAACAAAGTTACAAGACTTAAGTCAAGCGAATAAGGGGGTTCAGGAGCCACGCGAATATTTTTACTGACCAAAAACTCGTTTACTGATATTGTTGAGGAACATTATCGTGATGCAACACCCAGTTGTTCTTGATCTTGAACGGTGGTGTCTGTCAAGCTTAACTCTTCCCTGATCTTTCTGACTATGAATCGATGATCTGGACGCACGAGATCTCGGATTCTGTCGATATTTTCATCGGTTCTTGAAGAGGAAGGCCTTCATCTTCAATCGACTCTCTTCCTCAATGCCTTCCACCGAAAAACCTGGGCTCTTGACAAAACAGTATCTCCGTAGGCCTGCTCAAGTTTAGCAAGAGTTTCTATTGCACTGCAATCAATTCTGAAGCAAAATCTGATACGCCGTTGCTCGAAATTGACCATTCATTTTGGTACTGAAGGCCGATCGCTTGTTCCCCTGTCTCCCATCCAAACCCGGCGACACCAGTGTTGCCAGATCAAACACGACGTTACCAGTCTCATCACTTAATTTACAGACCTCTTATGACTGGCTTTATTTATTTATTTCTCTTACAGCCTGTATAGTGCCTTTGAAAAAGCCTCCCACTCCACTTATTTTTGAACTGGTCAAGCTAACAAGCTAAAATTTGGTGGGATAAAATTAATACATGAATATCATGCGTTAATATACGAATAAAAGTGAAAGTTGAAAATGTCAAGATAGCGGCTGCACGCAATCTTGTGACAATTTCAGATTGAAACTCCTTATAGCCCTAGAATATGACCATATTCTTTCAGAATGTAGATATTGATTAGCTGACGAGTTATAAGCGATTAAGTGTACAAAACGATCAACTTTGACAGCTCACCATTTTGAAACATTCTGAATTTATATTGTAGGACCAGAAGTAAGGTCCCACCTAGGATCACTTTTTTTGGCCGAAGCCGATGTTCGGCTTTTACATAACTTTCGTCCGAATCCGAAGGTTGGCTTCATCATAAATAATTAACATTTTTGCTTCCATATCAACTTATACGTAGGAATTACTGCTTTGATGTGTAATATTGAAACGAAACTTGTTGAAAATGATTTGTTGAGTATGAATACTTATATCTAACGTTTTGTTACATTCACATTGAAATATAATAAAACACTGATACTCAAGATACTGATAAAGAACACCATGTCAGTTAAAGTATAGTAGAGAAAGGCATACAAAAATTCAGAATTCGTATAATTTTCGCTGAGAGTGATAAACAATATAATACTGGGCTCCGAAATTAAATTCGTATTACGGAGAGTTTCGAGTCATTATATTTATTGAAAAGTAGTGTCAAGCGTGAATTAGTTAAACTGAGACACTTTGAAATAAACAAAAAGCGAAGATCTGCGGGGTAAGTGTCAATTGCACTTGAAATAAGAAATCTCGAATCGCCAACAGCTGCTCGGTACCATCTTTCCTCCGAGGGGTCGACCCGGGAAATCGGTACCTGCGGCGCCTTGCGTGGATCAGCGTAGACAGCCATACATACACAATAGAAGACTAAAAGCATAGGCGGGGATAATAGAGTGTAGATGTCGGCATTCCGTATCAGCTCTAGACAGAGTGAAGATAGCGCAACTGAAGATTCAACAGACGAGGGAAGCAAAAGAAAGAGGATTGAAGAGCAAGAGACAGAAGCCTTTAAAAAAAGTAAAAAGATAATAAGAACCCCGACAAAAGATAGAAATAAAAGAGTTACTAACAAGGAGATGGAAGAAATTAAGGACATGATGAAAAGTATTATGGAGGAGTTTAGAGGGTTTCGGGAGGAAAATCGTGAGGAAATGAGGTTACTTAAAGAACAAAATACAATTCTTAAACAAAGAAACGAAGACATGATGCAGGAAATCAGTATGCTTAAACAGACGGTTGAGCAATTGGAAGAAGTAGAACAAAGGATAGAGCTCCTAGAGATAGGAGGTAACGAGGATTTAAAGCAATCAGTAGAAAACTTTCTGAAAACCAGACTGTCTCCAGAGGCAGATATTCAGTCCGCCCAAAAAATAATGTGGCGGAGTTGAAGAGTTTTGATGCTAAAATGAAGATCATGAAAGCCAAAGGTAAGATGCAATATTTGAAAACGTAAAAAATCTACATAAACAGTGATTTGACAAAAAATGAGATGATGATTCAAAAGCATATAAGAGACAAAGCTAAAACGGAGAGAGCAAAAGGAAATACAGTCAAGATAGGTTATATGAACTTGCTGATTAGTGGAGAAAAATGGAGATGGGATAAAAAAGACCAGGTGTTGAAACCAGACACATTGATTCAAAAAAACCAGTTATGTTTAGAGAAAAGGATATCTTGGAGACGACAGAAAATGTGGCTATGACAATGGAACAGGTAACGAACAGGAATAAAAATAAGGAAAGAAATAAGGCGTTAAGTACGTATAAATTTCAAGAAGAGCAAATAAGAATTGCAACTTGGAATGTCAGAAGTATCTACGAAGCAGGTGCACTGAAAAACTTAGTCAACATAGTGAACGTATATAAAGTACACGTTCTAGCTCTTCAAGAAACGAAACTTAAAGAAACAGGAATATCCCAGTGCGAAAATTTCGTATTTTGTAATAGCGGTGGTGCAAATAGACTTTTTGGGACAGGATTTCTAATAAATGCAAAACTAAAAGATACGATAGTAGAATTTAAACCTATATCGGAAAGATTGTGTTATCTACGCCTGAGAGGAAAGTAACAATGATCAATGTAAGTACATGCCCCAAATGAAGACAAGGATATGAATATCAAAACAGACTTTTATCAACAGTTAGATGACGTGATAAATAGTCTACCAAAATACGATATCAAAATAATATTAGGAGACTGCAATGCAAAAGTTGGGCGTGAAGACACTTATCGAAACGTTACAGGAGGGAAAAGCAAACATGAACTCTCAAATGAAAATGGCAAACTCCTGATTAACTTTGCAATTGAACAAAATTTCAAGATAATGAGCACTTATTTTGACAGGAAAGATATCCACAAGACAACATGGATCTCACCAGATGGTAATTCTGCCAATCAAATCGACCACGTACTGATCGAAAACAAGCATGCCTGCAATATACACAATGTTAGAAGTTACCGTGGTGCAGACAGTGATACGGATCACTTTATGGTAGTAGCTGTTATAAAACAAGATATCCCGAAGAAACACTTAGAGAGACAGAAGACAACAAAAGCGCTAGAAGATACGTCAGTTAGACAGCAACTTGAACAAGCAATAGCGACAGGACTGCAGAACACACCAGTTGTGCAGGATATTAATCAGGAATGGAATCATATCCAAGCAATAATCACTAATGTAGCAGAACAGATGATGAGAAAAACGAGTACTAGAAAAAACAAAGATTGGTTCGATGATGACTGTAAACGGGAATTGGAACAAAGACAGAAAGCAAAAATACAAATGGATGTATCTAGAACAACAGAGTCAAGGAAAAGATATGAACAAGCCAAACGAAAAGTGAAAGAGATGTGTAGAAAGAAAAAGCGTGAATACTGGGAAATGGACTTGAAAATGATAGAAAATCACATGATCAACAAAAACATTAAGAACTTTTATCAGGATGTAAGAAGAAGCAAATTGGGTAGTCAAAGGTCTTCTTGCTTCTATAAAGACAAAGATGGGTCGTTAATTGGTGACATTCCAGGAAAATTAGAAAGGTGGGCCAAACATTTGGAGGAACTGTTAAAGCTATCAGACGAAGAGGAAAGGAACACGGAAGCAGCACCACTAATCGAAGATGACAATCAGGGACAAATACACGAACCAACGGATCTGGAAATAGAGGAAACAATAGGAAGATTAAAATACAATAAGAGTCCAGGAGAAAATGGAATCACAGCAGAAATAATAAAAGCGGGTGGACAAGATTTACACAAGCGACTTGGAAGTCTGATCAGATGTACAGGGTGTCCGCAAAGTTGGGGTTTTCCTTTTCAGAAACAACTACCCTTGAAATAACAAAGGTAATGTGTAGTGAAACGAGGGCGACCAAGTAAAAAAAATAAAGGAAAAAGTACTCACTCTCCTGTTGACGAGAAGGGCTAAGTACGTCTCTGACCGAAATCATACCGCTCCAACAGAAAATGAAATCAGCTGAAGCGCTACCGAATAGACGCAGAAACCACATTGATTGTCTTACACTTAATGATACATCTTCTAACAAGGAAGGCAAAATGTTGCGTAATTGCGTGCGGATTTTCTACTGACCAAACATGAGTGTTGCGAAAGTTATTCACCCCATTACGCGTGAACGTAGATTCGTCTGTCACCAATATGCACTTCAAAAAGTCCGGATTATTGTCATGTTGATGCAACAACCACTCACAAAACCGCACTCTTGCTGGAAAATCGTCAGGTTGAAGGGCTTGTACACGTTGGACGTGAAACGGATACAGTCCCTCTTCACGCAGCGTTTGCCACACTTTAGTTTTTGATACTTGCACTTCTCTAGCCACGTCTCTAGAGATTCTCGTCTACGTGATTACCTCTACATGCGTAACCGTAACCATCGGTTGAAGGTTGCATACTGACCTGACACACTGACCCCGACCCAGTTCTGCCGTCGGGTTGAGACCTTGTACCAATCTGTGATGTCCCGGGTCGCGGCTACAGGACGGTATTCAGATATTTTTGATGTTGCAGAGCCCTTTATCTCGGTTCCCTTAAGACATTGGTGTATATGGTACTAAGAAAAATTGCTTATGTTTTCAAGATCTACACGTCGTGTAAAGGAAAACCCCAACTTTGCGGACACCCTGTATATGGAATCAAGAGGAACTACCAGATGAATGGAAAAACGCCGTAATCTGCCCAATACACAAAAAAGGTGATACAAGTTCATGTGAAAACTATAGAGACATTGCCCTGTTAGACACTGCATATAAGATACTAGCATTTCAACTAAGGGACAGATTGAGCATATATGAAAATGAGGTTATAGGTGAATATCAATGAGGTTTTAGAAGGGGAAGATCCACAATAGACCAAATATTTACAATGAAACAGCTGTTCTATAATAGTTATGAACAAAATCTTGGTTTACACGCATTATTTATTGATTTCAAGCAAGCGTATGATTCCATTGACAGAGAAAAATTATATGAAGCTATGAGACCGCTGGGACTACCAACTAAACTGATAAGGTTAGTCAAAATGACAACAAACGGGGCAATGAACAAAGTCACATTGGAAGGGAAAACATCTAGAGCTTTTGGCGTAACGAGAGGCCTGAGACAAGGGGACCCGCTATCTACAACTTTACGCTGGAAGCTATTTTACGTAATTGTGGTATACAAACCGACGGAGTTGTTTACTATAGAAAACATCAGTTGATTGCTTACGCCGATGATATAGCAATAATAACCAGATCCAAAGCAGAACTTGAGAAGACGTTTAGAAGGTTAGAAGAAACTGCCAAATGTTTTGGGCTTCATATAAATGAAGACAAAACAAAATACCTTGAAATGAGAGGAAGCGATGAAGGAAAGTTAACAATAAAAAGTAGTTGCAGAGAGTACTGTTTCGAGAAGGTGAATCAATTTGAATATCTAGGGGTCACAATAACAGATAAAGCAGAAGAAGATTTAGAAATTGAAAAAAGAATAGCAAAAGGGAGTAAAGCAATGGGGGCTTTAAGCAAGATGATAAACTCGAGGTGGATATCAAGGAAAACAAAGGATAGGATATATAAATCAGTTATCCAACCATCAGTACTTTAAATTGGAACGCTGGGAAAGAAAAATGTTACGTAAAATATATGGGGGCACAAAAAACAACGATGGTACATGGAGAAAGCGAACTAATAAAGCTGATGGAGATGTATAACCAACCCAGTATAATACAAAAAGCCCGAGCTCAAAGAGTGCGCTGGTTAGGACACGTTTACAGAATGCCGTCTCATCGGAATGCCAAAAAAGTTTTGTTTGGAGGAGAAGGTAGTAGAAGAAGAAGAGGAAGACCGAAGGAGCAGTGGCTGGAAAGTGTCAAAGAGGATATACAAAGACTAGGCATACCAGACTGGGAGGAAAAGACCAAAAACAGAGAAGCGTGGAAAGAAGTTGTCAAAAAGATAGAAGCCATGGGCCTTCAGGCCTGAAGCGCTGAATTATATATAATTATCCAAAAACTGCTGCAATGGCACACTCTTAGCGTTCTGGTAGTGACATCAGACATTAGTACTTTTTGTACAATTAAAATAGGTATTAAAACTAAGTACACATTTGTAAAGCTACAATGGAAACCCGATTTGATAGTATAATTATATAACATTTAACATGAGAAATAATTGTTTTATGAAACATCCAAGAAGAAGTCAGCTTTAAAAACAAAGTAACCACAGATATATCATCTTATTTTTTGACAGTAGAATAAGTTACAGAATTAATCTTCAATGGATAATTATGAAGAGAAATTTTGACAAAACAAAAATCAGTAGGTGGACTTACAGTTTTGAAACTAATTATAGAAAAACTAGTAGCACATCAACACCACATAGAAAGATTTCCTGTTATCGTAGATTTGTCCTTCAGCATTAAATATTTGACAATATACATATGGACTGATACTATTTGCCAAGGTAAATGTTGCCTGCAAAGCGATATGGAATAAGAACCACACATACAGAAAAAAGTATTGGTACACCCTACTTTTTCTTGAATCTCGATAACGAAAATACGATTTTTTATGCTAGATATATTTGAAAACTAACATCCAAATAATCATTTTTGATGGCAATTGATTGAGCAAATTAAAAATAATATAAGAGTATCCAAAGGAATCAAATTCAAGTCTGAAAAAATACTGGGACGCTAAAAAAATAAACTCGTAAAAGTTTACAGTTAGTAGGTATTTTAGTACTTTGTTATGATACCATTTGCAGCAACATTCAGGCATAAGACCGTAAGACGCTAGACATCAACAAAGCTTCTGGTCCGGACTTGAGTCCTGCAGTTGCATTAAATCGAGAGCTTCTGGACTACCTCGAACGCCACCGCTTGATCAGCGACAGGGTACTGCATGGCTGCCGGCACCAGTGATCCACTGGGAAGCTCCTAGCTTAAAAAAATAGGGCATGCAAATACATTTTTGATCCACTGTACATATGAAATACCTCTAACACCTGTTGATATGCGATTCAACAGTTCCTAAACTCTGCTCCTATCTGCATTTGCACTGTTTTGGTTCGCGCGATTTTTGTAAAACTTCTCGTGAGAACTGTTTTTCGAATCCTCAGGCCTTCGGACGAATCTTCGGCCTGTTTAGATTGAAGGTGTATTTTTTGCCCGAACGTGGCCGAAGCTTAGCCATTCCTTTTTAAAAAATGCACCAATTTCATCGACCCGAATTTCGGGTTGCTAGCTTGACCCGAACAAAAAGTAACACCTTTTTGAAAAGCACAGAAACAGAAGCCAAGATGGCGAACAAACTTATGATGTCATGTGTCATGAAAGTCAATGTTCCACTCCTCAAAGGACTTTAACTCAAATGTTTTAAAGTGTCGTGAGGACATTATAGAAATAATTTTTATAATTATCACTAGTATTCGTATCAACACAATATACTGCTCTCATTCGGAACATTTTGCCTCCAAAAAGTGGCAAAACTTGCATTCGGAAGTTCAATCATAACATTTGGCGGCAAATGTGAAGAAAATAACTTTTATTCTGTGACGTTGATAGTTTGACATGAAAGAGTAAAAATTATATCATCTTGGATGATTCATGTGGTAAATACAATACAGAGAATTCAAATAAGTTCTCTTTGTAACATTTTGGGAATACACAAAACGTTTTGCCAACACATAACAAAAGAAAGACAACAAAGTATACAGTTGTTGAAAAATGATGTAAACAATAACAAATGCAATTTTCTTTAGGTCGAGAATGATCCATTGTTAATTCGCTTTGAATAAATATTTACAAATTAAACGAGACTGAATCCTTAATTAAAATTTAGTTGAGCTTTACGTATAAATAACTTACCTTCACTTGCAACATAGACAAGTCATAATGTATATTCCTTGCCTTCTGTTTTGCCAGGATCAACCTAGGCCATTCAATCAGATTCTTCTTGATCAATGTTATCCGGACATCTAGCCCAGCTGAAGTATGGTGCAACGATCCTATATGATTATACAACATCAACTTCAAACAATACTCGTTCTTGCCTTTCTGAGTTTTGAACAAAAGTATCCTGCCTTTTGTCAGCGTGACTTTGTAATCTTTGACGTCTGTCACTTTGACGCTGAGTTTGACAGCTGTGTCCGTCTGGTACCAAAATACTTCCGGGGTCTTCTTTTCGATAAAAGTTCACCACCCGATCTACGAAGTCAATCAAGTCATCGTCTTCCAGGAATAGTTCCATTTCTTCATTAATATCTTCCTGTTGGAATTCTAATGAAAAAGGTATTCATATTATTTAATTTACTTTAAAAGTGTAGTAATGCCTAATTTGAACATACATATCTGCTCGTGCATTAAACGGAATCTAATTATTTGTAATGATCAAAGCTGATTATACGAGTAAATTATTACTTTCGGATGAAATACGAAAGACTGGGGCGAGGCTACACCATTTTCATTATTTTCGTGTGTTACGTCATCCTTGACTGAACGGGAAATGGGTAATTTTAGAGCAATTTTGGGGCTGTTGTTTTTTTTATTCACTGACTGCCAAACATCATTTGTAGTTCCCTTATAAAAGTACTCAAAACCATAATAAGCAAAAAATATCAAGCTTTCCGAGCTTGCGAACTCTGAAGATGTACAACGAAAAGGTAGCAATATGTCTGGTTTTCACAATATCTGTAACTGTTCTTTATATATATATATATATATATATATATATATATAATACTCACTTATACATAAATAAATTAATTAGACTCCCTTCAATAAAAAATTAATTGAAAAAAACTGGAACTATTAAGGACAAAATTATATAGACAAAGCAAAACAGTTATAGAAAAAAGAAGCAGAGTTCACTGAATTATAGAAAACCAACCATGTTTGTGTTAATATTTTGTAGCATAACCATTATTATCAATCACCGCCTGGCATCGTCTCGGCATAGGTTGTAGAAGTTTCTTGATGTAAGATTCATCAATATGTCCCCACTTTTGCTCTAAAGCGGCTGAAAGTTCATCCTAGTTTGAATAATTTTTACATAGTATTTGCTTATCTAAGTATTCCCATAGCTTTTCAATGGGGTTTATATCGGGAGACTGGAAGGCCATTTCAGAACTCGTATTTTTTCATCCAGAAAGAATTTCTTTGCGAGATTTGAAGTGTGCTTCGGATCATTATCTTATTGTCTTCCATATAGGGTAACACGACATGCTTTAGTATGTCTGTGTATACAACCTTATCCATAATGCCATCTATTCTATGTAAAGGTACCAAACCAAACCCCGAAAAGTACGTCCAAACGATAACAGACCCGCCTGCATGTTTGACAGTAGGCAAAGTGTACTAAGGGATCAATCTTTGTCCACTAGGACATCTAACGTAATGAAAACCATCTGATCCAAACATATTGAACTTGGATTCCTCACTGAAACATACCCTCTTCCAGTCACAGATGCTCCAATCAAGATGCAACCGTGCAAATTGGTCTTTCCTCGAGATTAGCGGCTTCTAACTCGGGCGAAGTGCAAATAACTTCAAATCATTTAATCTTCTACTTATAGTTTTCGTAGAAACACTGACAATTGCTTTTGTCTCGATTTCGGCTTTTATATGTCTTTGGGTTTTAAACGGATCTCTGGACGAAATTATACTTTTATTAACCTAACTGATCTAGCATTTAGTTTTCTAGGCCGGCCACTTCTCTTAGAGGCTTCTAAGATACCTTTTTGTTTATATTTGTTCAATATTGCCCAAACTACTTTACGCTTCAGCTTCAAAATTTTGGCAATGTCGACTTGACGTTGACCATCTTTGTATAATTCAATGATCTTAGTTTTCACATCGAAACAATTTTCTGGAGCACGCGGCATGGTCTTAAAATCACTCAACTTATTCCACAATACTGGATGAACACAAACTAATCCTCTTCTGACACGAAACTGTACTAAACTAATGTTGAAAAGAATTTGTCTACATATTTTTGTCCCTCATAAAAAAGTGCTTATATTCAGACTCGTATTGTGTTCATTGCAGATAATGTAAAAACAAGGAATTTAGTTTTTCTACTAATAACGCATTTGTTTATGGAGCAATGAAGTATGAATTCGTTTTCTAAAGGTATTTACAGTATATTCAGATAAGAGATAGACCGGACATAAACAAGACCACGTGATCATCGAACGCTGTAACATTCGGCAGGGACGTATTAAGAGTCACGCAGTACATATTTTAGATAGTAGATGCTGCTTTGCGTAACTTTGTAGTAAATTAGCACAATTCGATGTGTATACGATTGGTGATGGATATAGGATCATGTGGGGGTGGGGTAAGAAATATATAATGATGTAAATATACATAAGGGTTTCAAAATTTTCGCTTCGATTTCCAGCTTCGGATGCCGCCTGATGTTTGGTGGAATACAGTCGAATATAATCTCAAAATGGCGTTTAAATTAGCCTAAATTAAAAATAATCTTATATCTCTTAAAATTGCTTTTAGAATATTGATTAGTATATTTTTGATTTCTAGGTAAATATGTAACCAAATTAAAACGTTCAAAACGTGCATGGTTGAACATTGTCAGAAAGAAGATTCTTGAATAAGTTTTGCCAAAATGGGTTCAAAAATGTCAATAATTAATTAAAAAATACAGTAGCTTTATAATTACTTATAACTTACCGAATTTGATGAACGACATCTTTTATTGGAAAGATGAGCTTGATGAGCTTTCATCATCGCTACTGCCTGAAGCTGCGCTGTTATTAATTCTAGTGCTTCTTTGAAAAGTCTTTTGAGGTCACAAAATTTAAAAGTTGTATTGTGCTTAGCTATATAAGTTTTAACCTCTGCCCATATGAGCTCAATGGGATTGAGCTCGCAATGGTATGGAGGTAAACGGAGCACAGTTTTATTTTGACTTGCTGCCATTTCGTCAATGGCGTATTTTTGATATTCCGCCTTGTGATCCTTGACAATTCTTAATAATTGTACTTTCAGCATTGCTTCTTCAAAGTTGATATTTTTCGAGCGGAGCCAATTTTGAACATCAACTTTCCTTGAAGCCGTTGTTGGGACCTTCTCCATTCTTCGAGAATGATAAGGCGCATTATCCAACACAATTACTGCGTTTTCCTCTAAGTTCGGTAAAATTTTTGAAAACCACTGTTCAAACGATTCGCCATTCATTTCCTCGTGGTAATCTCCAGTTTTCTTAGACTCAAAGCACCACAGACCGTCAACAACAAATCCATCCTCACTGCCAATATGGCAGATAATGAGCCTTTTCCCTTTACCTGGACATCGAAGTACTAACTGGTGTAGATTTATTTCAATAAGCGAACCTTTTTCAAATGTTTTCATCACATTCAGCGAAGAAACATTGAGACATGAGTATCAGATTGCTATAATTGGGATTATTTAGTCATATTTAAAGAAAGAATATTGAAGGTCGTATGATTTCTCAGCGCTTCACAATTTAATTTAAAGTTATAAACCTTTAAAAAATGAATGATCAGGAACCTGAAATACGCGCAAATATTAATATTAACAAATTATAACTTTATAAAGCTTAAAGTATGAATTAAAATGATTAGAAATATTAGGAACGGTACACAATATAAAACTTAGTAACTTTTTTTAAGTTTATAATATTCGACATATTTTAAGATTATATTAAAAAATTATTGAAATATCGAAAACACATAAAAACATGGCTTAAAAAAGTTCTAACAAATGAAAATGACAATAAAACATCCACGCATTTTATCGAAAGTTATAAAAGTTTTGTTACTTGTAATATGTTTTATCTGCCCCCTGGAATTAATGTTTAGAACCTTGTTCCCAAGGTTTGAAAAACATCCGATTGTTGTCTATTACTCGTATTTACCTGCTGGATTTTTTAATCCGGTGAACAGTCCATCTAGAAAGGCCCTCCTGGATGAAGTTACAGAATCATCAACCCATACTTTACTTGTAGTGTGTCCTGCGTTTACCCACGTTTCATCAAGGTAATAAATCTTCCTGTTTTGATTTCTATATTTCCCAATTTTTGTTAAATAATCCCTCCTCCATAGCACAATTTCTTCTCTATCCAGTAGTAAACTATTACGACCCCGTTTTTTCCATTTGAAATTTAAATGCTTCAGTAACGCATGGAAAGTTGATCGTTTGAAATTTGGCAACGTTGTATCTCCATTTACCTCCTGCAGTACTTTATCTATAGTAGGTATTTCATTCCTAAAGAAGAATTCATGCACTTTCCTCCTAATCGCATGCTTATCAGCTTCATCCAATGATTTAACAATACTTTTGCGATGTTTACTGGTCATTGGCTCAGAAAAGGTGTGATTTTTTTGTATTGTCTTAACACATTAAACACTGATGCGCGACACACCCCAACTTTGTGAGAAACCTTCACAACAATTTCTTTGATGGTTGATGCCTCGTTCTCCTCGCGCTCGATCTTATATATATTCAAAATGACCTCTTTCATTTCTGCACTCAGGTGTCTTTTTTTTAGAGCGTTTCCTAGGTGGACTACAGGAGTTTACAACTTCATCGGCAGTATCTGTACTACTGGGCATTTTGCGCAAGCAGTTGATAACAATAACAATCAATAACAAGGTATAACAATAACAACGTCAAACTCAACAACTTAATAAGATAACAAACGAAAACGTCCAAAGAAATATCAAATTGCAATGATGCACACGACATACGTAACACGTCTGAACCTGAATGTGACTCTGCCTTGATACGACTGCTCTGCCGCTCGGCATTGGCATTTAATTGCGAATTGACCAATGAGGGCTCCTGTTTTACGTCGAGACGGCGGCGTTAGCGTGAAAATCACCCGAACCTTTTGTTTACATCCGGTCTATCTCTTATCTGAATATACTGTAGGTAAATATTCATATTTGTCTATATACTTTTTTTTCTCCATTAATAATAATAATAATAATATTTATTCACTCAATGTACAAAGATAACAAACAATATGAGTAAATAAATATAAAATCAAAACAGGCCCAATAGAAGGCATCGCCTGTACATGGACCAATAATTTAAGTTGAAACTGTAGAATGCAAATGACAAAAAAGGACACAAATTAGCTACAGTAGATTATGTATTTAGTTGATGTTCGTATTGATGAGTTTATGAATTTCAGTCCTAGATATAGAATGTAGCCACTTTTTTAAATTTCTTTTGAAACAATTTCCGAAACGTAAATCTTTTAAGTCTTTAGGTATAATTTCATAAAATTTAGGTGCTATATAGAGATATGATGCATTATAGATTTATGCGGTTGAGGAACTACTATGCCACGAATTTTGTACCTGGTATAATGATTATGTTTAATTTTTTGGTGGGTGTTTACAAATTTATGGTAGTGAGTGATACTGTGTAAGAAATAAAGCTGTCTTATATCATACATTCGAACATCTGCGTATAATTTTTCAGTGGGATAAAGTTTCGGTTTTTTAAATATCATTTTTAGAATACTTTTTTGAAAAACATCTAAATTATAGATATGTGAGGAACATGCAGCTCCCCATGCTAATATACCATATGTGAGATGAGGCTCAATCAGTGCATGGTATAATGTTCGAAGATATTTTTCTGTCAATATATTCCCAAGATATTTAATTTTGTAGGATACAAATCTAACTTTCTTTAAAATATAATTGACATGGATGTCCCATCGTAAGTGAGGATCCAAGACCACTCCAAGGTATTTTATGTTGGGCACTCTATTAATTTGCATTTTTTGATCATTAATGTTGAAGGAGAAATTTGTGTAATTTGCCAGATGTCTAGCATAAGATCCAAATGGTAAAAAATGTGTTTTAGAGTAGTTAATGCTTAATTTTTTACTGTTAAACCACCGAATAATTTTGATAAAATCATTTTCAATTACATTTTTCAGATCAGACCAGTCAGTGCCTCCATATAATATTGCTGTATCATCTGCAAAACTAGTTATTTTGCCAACACAATTAATTTGGAAATTATCATTTAAATATATATTGAATAACAGCGGACCTAAGACAGTTCCTTGTGGGACACCACACTTAATATACGTTTCTTTACTAAATGATCCTGGTATCTGCACAGATTGTGGGCGATTTGACAAATAATTTTCGATCAGTGAGTACGCGTTTCCTCTGAAACCAATTCTCTCCAATGCTTCTAATAATAATTTGTGATTAACTGTGTCGAAAGCTTTCTTTAAATCAACAAAAATGTAGATTGAAGGGATTCTGTTATCAATATTTTGATGTATTTGATTTACAATTTTAGTTATTGCGTGCGATGTAGCCTTCCCTTCTGTAAATCCATATTGATTTTTACTTAAAATTTTGAATTTTGTGAGGTATCGAATCATTCTAGTAGATAAAACTTTTTCAAAAACCTTTGGTAAGTGAGTGGTTCTGTTATGTCCTCGGCTATAATTTTCAAATGCTCGCTTTTAATACCATCGAACCTAGGACTTTTCCGATTTTTTAAGGCCATAACAGTGGTGTATACTTCACATTGCTCGACTTTATCCAAAATAAATCAGTTCAAAGTTCTTTTTGGAGGCTGAGTATTTTGTACGTTTGCTTGTATATTACTTGCTAAATTTTCGCCTATGTCAGTAAAGAATAGTGAAGAAAAATAACTGTATATCTTAAAATAAATCATCTGTGGAGTCCTTATGCCTTATGTTGAGTTTAGTTGGTCGAATTCAGGAGATGCCAGCATCTGTTTTTACCTTTTCTCATTTATATACATTTTATTTTTTCTTCAATTTATATATGTGGCTTTTTTATAGATTTATTGTTTTATCTAGGTTATACTTATCATATTTTTAAAAAGTGTTAATATGTAATTATTATTTTTTAATATGAACATATCCATTGTCGTTTTTTGTTTTATAATCTTTTCAAATTTCTGATTTTCTTTTTGAATCATGTCAAAACCCATTGTTCAGATTTTGAAACCATGAAGAAGTCAAATAAACGTCGAAACGGCGGCTTTTTGAGCAGGACGCGTCTTGAAAGATGCACGCTCACTGAGGCGAAGCGCCGAGAAGGGAACCGCGGCGACATTTGTCATTTGCACGCGTCAAATGTGTCACGCCGGTTCCCTGCGCATCAGTCGTGTGGGCGGGCTGCTGTCACTTAATTACGTGAAATAGAACTTAAAGCAGTAAAATGTCTCTTCTCCCACTGGGGAAGGAAGCAAAGAGAATAAAAGCAAAAATCTTCGGCTGGATTCCAAAACAACCAAATGAGAGCGAGATGAATTTGCACGTGTCAAATGTGTCACGTCGGTTCCCTGCGCATCAGTCGTGTGGGCGGGCTGCTGTCGCTTAATTACGTGAAATAGAACTTAAACCAGTAAAATTTCTCTTCTCCCACTGGGGAAGGAAGCAAAGAGAATAAAAGCAAAAATCTTCCGCTGTGTTCCAAAACAACCAAATGAGAGCGAGATGAATTTGCACGCGTCAAATGTGACACGTCGGTTCCCTTCGCATCACTCGTATGGGCGGGCTGTCATTTAATTATGTGAAACAGAAATTAAAGCAGTAAAATTTCTCTTCTCGCACTGGGGAAGGAAGCGAAGAGAATAAAAGCAAAACTCTTCCGCTGGGTTCCAAAACAACCAAATGAGAGCGAGCTGAATGGAGCCACGCCAAGGGAAGGGGCATGTCAGATTTGACGCAAGCAAATGACAAATGATGCCGCGGTTCCCTTCGCATCACTTCGCCTCAAACTGCGTGCACGTAAAATGGGCGTGCATCTTTAAGCTCCTCATTTGTGGTATCCTACAATCGGAACGTTAAGACAAGGAACTACAACTTTTGCCGATATCACTTATATCCTTGTGCTAGAAAGATCGAACTCGTTTCAATCAGTCAAGTACTCTAATTGATTTAAACAATGTATTCTTAATGTGTGTGCTATCAAGATTCTGTAGAAGACTTCGGACTAAGCATGCATACCAGATCAATAACGTGTAAGTTATATGCAAAATCACATTTAAGCCAATGGAATCAACTTCATTTTAAGTTTAACTTCTATGTTTATGTTTAATATCTCGGAAATGTTATGACAGCTCGATTTTATATCAATCATTTTATGCTTTCCACAAACCAAACAATTTAAACGTGTCAAAATTACCCACTGATCTTTATTACTCTCATAGCCCCTAACTACTAGACAATTAATAAAGAATCCATGTGATTCTCACCTTTATTTGGATGGAAGTTTTCTCGCGCCTCGTCTGTCTTCTTCAATATATCCAACGCTATTTCAACATCATCGTCACTTTCCTCAGTCTGTCCGTAACTCTCGGGTATCTCAAAGTCTTCGAGCTTATCTTCAGTAGGCAAAGCCAAACCACAATCGATAAATTGTTCGTTTATCAAAGGCTTCTTATTTCCAAAACCATCTTTCAATAAAACAGTGTATCTGTTTTGACAGTAGTCCGAGATTGCTATTCTTTCTTTGCCGCAAATCTTGACGTAAAGTGATCTGAATATATCAGTTTGAGGTTCGGTAGCGTATTCATACAATAAGTCTGTCAGCTCACTAGACCATTCTTCCAAGACTGGTTTGATACCAAACAGTTTGCACGGGATGCTTTGGAATGGCAATTTTGTTATAAATTCTTTACTGAGGTATTTCAGGTCTGTAGTTGGGACGACAGCTTCATCACCGAAGTCTACAAAGAAGCACAAGGCCTTTTCTTCATCATTCTTTAGAATGATGCATCTGGAATAATCTTCACTTTCTGGATCTTTTGCTAAACAGATAGTGCCTGGTTTGATTTTTGACAGCCTGGGATAATGGGGTTTCTTTATAGCCTGTTGGATATCCTTTTCCAAGGTATATAATCTGGAATAGAGAATTACATTTGTTATTTCTAACTTCATATATTCATATGACTATTGTCTCAACAAAGTTTGAGGTATCTTTTGAAGACAAGCTCGAAATGTAACGTTGTCGACATTATGACTTAGATAGAGGTTAATGAGGTTTTAATTTAATCCGAAAAAAATATTTTGGAGTTTGTTATGAAAATGAAGCAGAGAAAGAAAATTATGTTCTATTTCACTGGGACTTTTTGAAACACCTATTGCATTTTTTAATAAGGTTTTACCTGATTCGCCTCTCCTGAAAAAAATTTGTCAGTCTACCTTTTAGATGAAAGATTGCTTTGAATATTTATGGTAAAATCCATACAAATGAGATGTCAACGCCCTATTTGAAAAGTCCAGGTTTTTATTCGTCGACTATGTGTTCCCTTCACTGTTGTTTAAAAACGGTTTCAGCAACAATCTCGCCGACTTAGTAAGTAACTATTTTTCTCCTAATTGTTATTTGTCGTTATTGTCAATAATTGTTTCCAGCTCCAGCCGATGAAGACATAGATCTTCAAAAGCTTGAGTTTAAGTTATAAGAGTAAACTTTTGCAATACTTTGCCTTCTACCCAAAGAAATTCAAGGATATTTTCTCCTAACAGTTAAGGCAATTAACTATGAATACTATATATATATATATATATATATATATATATATATATATATAATATATATATATATATTTACATCCAGGTCAATCATTTGCTTCCATCAACATGCACGGCACATTACATCTTGACTCCATGACTATATTGATACCATATATCGGACTCAAAATAGTTAACTCGATTTCTGCCGCTCTAGAAGACCAGAGATGCTTCAATCTTTACAGATTCCTACGCGATTCTTCAGCAGAATCTGTGTTGAGTTTTTGTTCTATGATACCTGGCACCAGATGGCTGCAATTGAATAATGTGTGGATGCAATTTATTACTACTTTTGTAACCAAAAAATACGATTTTAGTTCACAGAAATTCCGCTACGCGGAGGCATAAATATGCTCACTGGAGCTTTGCCTTCATGACGTAGATTATTTTGGTTCCTCTTCTAAAAATCATTGGCAACGCTGCATGTCGCGTCTATACGTATAACAACATCATCTATCCAGCCGTATCTTGATTCCCGACGTTTTGAGTATGATTTTGCAGCCAGTGAGTTTCTGTTGCCTGTTCAACTTGTTAAATATGAGTAACTTTCTTTGAGACCGAAATGGCTAGCAGTCAAGAAGAGGTAAGTTGTGTTTTTACTACCCACGCCAACTGGTGAGGAATGATTGTTTTTCGATTGATTGATTGATTCAAAATTTCAGGTAATGAAATTCGGGAATAACAGAAAAACAAATAGATGGCTTTGTAACAGATCATTATCTCCAAGTGAGGACAAGAGTGGAAATGATACTCGACAAGAAAAGGTTAGTTTCAACAATGACTAGATTCTTGTAAGTTTTAATAGTCCTTTGGCCCACGGGGAGAGAATATTTTGTGACAACCTAGCCTTCAAGATTTTATAAAACTTTTTCTTTACGTTGATTGGGACAAATATTCAATAGCGACAATTTCTTATACGGGGCGTTGTACTTCCCATGACAATTTTCAGAAAGGTTCGAAATTGAAATATCTTTTTTTTAATATTTCGTGACACACAATGCCAAAAATCCATGCTACTCATGTCTGTCAGTCTGCCTGCAAATCTTTGGCACCTCCATATGGATTTTTTAGACACAAGATTGCTCCTAAGAGGAGTATGAAAAAGTTTTGAATTTTTTAAAACAAAAAAAAAATACAAAAAATGCTCAAGCTTTTTTCTGTACGTTTCAGTCCCCTAATCATTTTTCAAAATCTCTTTGGATGGCTCAAAATTGAGGGATAAGGTGGGGGAAATTTTTTGCGTTCGTGAAGAATCACCCATAAAACTTTACAGCAATGGTCGTTAATCTTTTAACACTTATCCGAATTTCCCTTCAAAAATCGCATTAGTCATAGTTTTTCATAAGCTATAGACAGTGGCGGATTTAGCTTGCTTTTGTAATCTAACACCACTGTGTTACTTTCTGACACATCATGGCGACAGAAGCATACTAACTGTAAGTTATAGCTATATGAACTGAGCATTGCGATTTTTTGGTATCCTTTGGTATTCCAAATGCTGACCCTCTTTGAAATCACTTGTTTACAGCACAATTCTGACGATTTATCCGTATGTACGAGTATTGTGACTTGTGACAAATCTAAGTCTGGGTACCTAATATATCAGCTGTACAGATTGCACTTAAAAGGTAATTTATGTTCTGTTTGAAGTTTGGGTTTGAGCTCATGAGATATTTTACTATTTAGTACTTTTTTGGCTATTTTTATAGCCTCATCCATGTACTTTTTATTTCAATATGCGTGAAAACGGTTAGGTTATAAAAATTACCAAAAAGTCCACCAAATATTATTCCTGCGAATTTGCCATTTGTTATACTTTTTTACTTCTCGCGCCAATTGGCGGGGAAGTATTTGTAATTGCGAAACATTTCTAAATCAAGATAATACTTTTTTAATGTTTCATGACATGTACATCACAAAACCATGTTCGTTGTTAGCAATATATGGCATAATGTGGTGTGGCAAAATACCGTGACGGCTCGACAACTATTTGGGAATACTTTTCAGAAATGCTTCAAATAAGGGTTGTAGGATTATGCCTCATCTATTGGTCGTTGACCTTGGTTTTTACCTTGACTTTGACCTTGAAGGTTAAAAAAATTTCAAATAATGTAAAGACCTATTATTGATTCGAGTAATGATACTCGTGGAACATTTTAAATTCAAGCATCACCTTGAGCGATCCTTATATTTCACATTGAGTGATCTTCAACGTCAAATCGCCACTAATGGGAATGCATTTTAGGGTGAAATACTTCAAATAAAAGTTGTAGGATTAATCCTCAGCTATCAGAAGATGACCTTGGATTCTTCTTTGACCTTGAAGGTCATTTAAAGGTAGAGTTTTAAACGTAGATCCTCATTTTTGACTCCTGCAATGAAATGAGCGAAAAATATTACGTTTAGATATGTCCTGGGGTGACGCTCATATTTCACCTTGAATGACGTCCGGGCTACTAAGGCAAGAATGATAGTCCTGGCCAACAAAGGCAAGGTTAATAGCCCTGGCCATATGGTAGTAGTTTTACGTTGAGAGATCACTGTTTTCCAAACTACTATGTTCTTTAATTTTACACTTGATATGACTAGGACTAGATGATTCACCAATACATAATTTCAATTTTTTAATCATCGCTTGTTTCAGGAAACGGAGAATGAACCGCCATTGATTTGTGCTGCTGGTGAAGGCGAATCTGCAGAACCCTCTACACTCGCAGCATCGAAGAAATATAGACGCCAGACCAATATGTGTTATTTCTGTGAAACGGACGTACAAACCTTGTACGCCCTCTACGCAGGAACCATTTACTTGCACTTTTGAAGAAAAAAGTCAAATTCATAAAAAATTCAGAAGAGTGCGTAAATCCTGTGACGAAGGCTCGTTCACCAAGTGCATCTTTTCTTCTGTGCGGAACTTGTCTTGGATTCTACAGATCAAAGTTTTTATACAGACACAAAAAAAGTGCTTGGAAGGTCAGTCAGCAAAAATGCTCAAACTGAAACGCAGAATCTTCTCGTAAAAAATAAAAGAATTGACCAGAGATTGAAAGTCGAAGTCTTTCCCAGAATGAGAGCGGACAAAATATCTCGTGAGGCAAAAAATTATTATCTTATTTGTGCCTATGGTGCTAGATATTTGAAAACCCATAGAGAAAAGCATTTTATCAATGTAATGAGTAGAAAAATGAGAGAGCTTTCCAGAATATTACTAGAATTGAAAAAACTAGAGCCCACAATACACAATCTGTTTGATGGCCTGAAACCGAAGCACTATGACCAACTAGTTGAAGCTACAAAATAAGTAGCAAACTACGATACTGTTAATGACACATTTGTTTCTCCCACATTTGCCTTGAATATAAGTACCGCACTGAAACAGTGTTGTGACATTGCAATACACATGGTTATAAAAAATGAACCATCAGTTGAAACAGCTAGTCTCAAAACGATGATTAATTTACTGCAATCAAATTGGAGATTTGATGTCTCTGGCCGCGCTGGCAATTATTTGAACTTGATAAAATTCAATAAAGCGACCATTGTGCCATTAGCAACAGACCTTAGGCTTTTAAAAAACTACTTGTTGTTGAAAGCAGGAGAGGCAGTGAACAGGTTGGCTAGAAATGCTGCTGATGCGAACGCTTACAATACTCTGCTGGAGACAGTTTATTTCAGGGTAATACTACTGAATAGAAAAAGACCAGGTGAACTGCAAAGGATGTTTCTTCGCACTTATGAGAGTTCTGAAATTAAAAGTGGCGAATATGAAGAATTTGAAGAAGTCATAACCGAGGCGGAAAAACTACTGATAAAATATCTGAAAAGAGTTGTGATACGAGGTAAAAGAGGCCGTGGCGTACCGGTATTGTTCAGCAACGATGTACAGCTTCATGTCAAAGAATTACTCAAAGTGGGGAATAATTTTGTCCCAAAAGAAAATCCTTACTTTTTTGGCAAACCACGGCTCACCGGGCCAATTCAGGGATATAAAGTAATGGCAAAATATGCTCATGCTTGTGGAGTAAAAAATCCTCAAGCAATTACTTGTACCAGGCTTAGAAAACACCTTGCAACATTGAGTCAACTATTTAGTTTAAACGAAAATGAAATCGAACAGTTGTCCAATTTCATGGGACATACACCTGGGGTACATAAAGACGCATATAGGCTACCCGACGATTTGTACCAGACCGCGAAAATTTCAAAATTGCTAATTCTGATGGAAAATGGAGAAGCTGGTGAAAATAAAGATAAAGGATTAGAGGAAATAACAGTGGACTTAGAAGAAGATCTATTAGAGGAGAACGGGTGTGATGACGAGGATGGAGAAAATATGGAAAAGGAAGAAGAGGATCAGGAAAAAAAGAAATAAGAGAAATGTTATCTAATAAAACAGTAGTGTCAGAGCAAAAAGGAAAGAAAACGGAATTACCTGTAGCTGTCAATAAGAAAAAGCGTATTCTTACACCATGGCCTAGTGAGCAGAAGGAAGTAGTAACATTCTTCTTTAATAAGAACCTAAAGATGAAAAAAGCTCCAAAAAGAAAGGACTGTGAAGAAATTAAAAGTTTATACCCCGAGTTGCTAGCCAATAAAGACTGGCTAAAGATTAAAGTTTTTATACAAAACGTGTATTCAAAAAAAAAGCAAATAATTTGTAAAATTTGAATGTGAATGAAAATAAAGAAATCAAGCTCACTTGAGTTTATTTATTTTGACCGCTAGTTGTGCCTAGACTGCTATCAGAGGGTATCATCAGTAAATGTGTGTATTTCTTGTCATAGTTTATGGAAATATTTATTATAAACGTTCATACCACCTTGCGTTGCACTGCTATTTGATAACTTTTTCTTTTACTTCTTTTTTCTCCTGATCTACTTTTTCATCCTCCCTCTTTTCGACATGCTCATTATCAGATCTGTTCTGCCCCAAAAGAGCTTGTACTAAATCCACTGTTATTTCTTCTAATTATTTTCCTTTGTTTCCGTTAGCTTATCCCTTGTCCATCAGAATTAGCAATTCAGACATTGATGCATAGGGGCTGCGATTTACATCTCCATCTACCCCTAGTATATGCCCCATAAAATTGGACATCTCTCAGATTTCACTTCCGTTAAATTAAATAGTTGACTCAATTTTGATAATAATAATAAAAGTCTTTATTATTCAGATTCTGTGCAACTGGCGAATTCATGATACGAGTTGTTTTATAAGCCTGGTATAAGTTTGCTTCACTATCGATAGGTGTTTTGCAATTACTTCCAAAATACCGGGAGACCCGTTAGAAATTCATTGGCTGCTCTCCCCCTTTTTTCAGTTCAAAAGTATTCCACTACGAGATATTGTAAGCATTAACTTTATAAGCATGTTTAGCCGATATGTTGAGGTGTGCGGCTAGTGGCACAATGGTTATCATTATTTTCTTCCAAATCTATATTACCATTACTGCGGCTATATCGTCAAATCTCCACATTGACTGTAATAAGGTATTCATTGTCTTGGGCCTAGGTTGATACAAAGTTGTACTGACTGATGGCTCATTTCATATAACTTCATGTAACTGAGTGTCAAATGTGCCTCTACCGATTTTCTTATAAATTTCGGTTTCAAGTTACCAAACGGATTGATTTTACTTCTTTCAGTATTATTTATACATTCTTCACGTTGGTAGCGCCTTTCTCTGTGAGATATAATCTAAATAATCTTTTTCTTCAAGAAATATTGTGTCTAAAAAGTGATAGTACAATTTGACATATAATAATATCTATTTACCAATAACTTACATGTCATAGATACAAACCAAGTCAATAATTAAGCTGAACTGGAAGATGGTAAATTTCGCAACACTGTCGGAAGCAAAATAACCATTGCTACGTTAAATATACAACTTATGGAACCAAAATAGTTCTACTTACGTACAGATTTATACTGATGGTAGTAATTTAGATTGTCATATAGAGGGAATCAAAATATTTAATTCGCGAAAAAAGTGTATACAGTGTATATTGGTGCCTTCATAATACGGACAATAAAAAGTATATCGGTATAAGCAGAATTCAATGAGGAACCTATATACACATCAAAATGTAGGCTAGCGCAATTCCTAACGGTGGACGCAGAATGCTTTGTCTTTAAAAGGAAGCAGTATGGTCTTAAGATGTAAATATATATATATATAATATATATATATATATATATAATATATATATATATGTAAAAACCCTGAATTGTATGGAGTGTATTAGGGAAGCAATCCCACCTCGCCACAGGTTATTTGAGTATTCATGTTTTGTCCCTAAAGGCGGCGAATAATTGGAGCCGAGCGCTGTAATGTAATGTAACACAAAAATTCGCTAGTGGATCGCTAAATCGAGCACCGACCAGAGCCGCTCATGTCGGGCAAATCGTGCTCCACTTGACTGTCGGTTTTTTGACGATTCCCTTTGATGGTTACATTACAAGACAGTAATGGTGGCGATTAGTTCGTCTGTGAGTACAGTCTCTGCAGTCTTCGTATTTTATTAGTTGAGATACAGCTCCGAACACACGTTATTAATGGAGTGGACCCCGGATAAAACTTTATTTTTCTTTGATTTATAGTATACTGAAAGTATATATAATATGTGATCCGCAACATGCGGAATATTATAACAAAATCAAGAAACAATCTTAAGTTTTTCAAGATACGTATTAATGTCGCACCACCATTTACATCTCTTCCTCTAAATAAATCTGTTTGCCACCACCGTCTCTGTTTTTATTTTCTCTTTTTTATGAAGTTGCAATAGCCCATTAATATGAACGCAGCACTAGCTTCTTCTAGGTCTATGATTTTGACACAGACTGCAGCAGAAAAATCTAGAGCACTTTTGAGCCGAGGATTCCAAGTGAACATTCGCTGGACTGAAATCACGAACTTTGTAATGTAACGCTCGATGTGAGCATTTCATTACAGCGCTCGGCTTCAGTCAGTCGCTGCCTTAATAAGTTTCATCAGCAGCGTAGAAATTCAACTCCCTGTAGTTGGTAATGGAACATATGTTTACAGAATCTTTCTATCTTAAAAATACCTAAGGAATCACCCTGTGACATAATGGATACTTATTAAGAAACAGTTCGGTACATACTTTTGCGAATCATACTTACAAATCACTGTATTTGTTCAATCGGACATATATCTCGCCCGGAGAAATAGCTGACGAACAAATGACCTCCTGAACGGTCTCTATCTCCAAATGGGCCCAATGTGGTATAATTTTTTCCTCCTTCGTCTTTCTAACAGATTCTACTTCGTATTTTGGCAAGGCAAAACCCGCTTCGGCACACAACTTATACAAACGATCAAGCTGGTTCAGATCTGCAACGGCCAATTGCTTCTGCAATATCTCCCTGGTCAACTGGAAACCTGTCAGGACTTTATCCGAAAGCACTACTTCCTCTTCTACATTTGCCAACCATAGCGTATTTGAAAGTTGAAGGTGAATATAGCCAGTCATTACAATATTCTTGTAATCATGCTTTTCCAGGGTGTTGTTTAGGATATGCAGAGCTTTGTTAGAGAAACCTTCATCGTCGTATGGAGGAATCAAATTTGCTAAATAAATATCAGCATCTGGAAATGAATTTTCGATAATTAATGTATACAATTTTTTACATAATAAATCGCTAGTAATATTGTAAATGAAAGTGTGGATGTTTGTTAATTATGCCAAAATGGCTGAACAGGTTTGAATGAAATTTGGTACTGAGATATACTATAGTTTGTAATAGCACAAGGCTACTTTGTATCCCGGGAAATAACGTTGATATATCTATTTCACGGGATACAGCCCAAACGGCTTAATAGAATTTGATAGGAGGTGTCTGACGCGAAAGCGCTCAGTCGCTGGTCCAACCGAAATCCGTCTGGATATATAAATAGGGTAATTGCATCGTGCATACAAATGGGAAAGTGCGTATGTACATAAATATGTATGTGACGATTTCTCGCCAAAATGACTGAAACGATTTTGATGAATTTGAGCATAGATACACAGGGTGTAAGCGTTATGGTAGTCATTATTGAAATGGGTAATAGGGGGGGTCAAAACAAGTCAAAAAGTTCATATGACCCATGATCCAAAAGTCAATAGATTTTTGTCTAGATGGCTTTATAGTCTACAACTTTAAGTGCTTCATATCGACCACAATCTTACTAATTTTTATAATCTAATCTAAAACGTTTTTAAATTGGGTAATTAACAAATAAATGACATTAAGTTTTTCTAAGTTCAGCCAAAATTTGTAGTCAGTAAGTAAGTTTCATTAAATTAAATATTTAAAACACACATGACAACAGCGCTTCGGGCTTTCATCACTCTTATCGAACCGGCAATCGATCGCAAACGGTAACAGTGGTTAGTTATCGGGCATTGGGCCTGTTGTTTTGTTTTTGTTCGCGTACGTCGTGGTGTTTATTTACAATGTTCTCGAATCAAGAGTTCGCCTACATATTAGTTTACGGTGATGCTCGTCAGAATTCAAATCTTACAGCTCAAATTTATTGCGACAGATTTAGCCAACGGGTACACCCAGACAGAAGACATTTGTTCAAGTGTACCAAAGACTTCGAGATACAGGAAGTGTTCAGCCCACTAATTTTCGCACTCGTGAAAGACAGGTTACTGTAGAGCAGGAGGAACAAATTCTAAATATCGTGGAAATCAATGCAGATATCACCACTCGGGAATTAGGCCGCCGCGTAGGGCTATCGCATACCATAGTCCATAGAATCCTATGGGGACATTTTCTTTATCCCTACCATGTCAGGTCAAAATGCTCTTGATCCTCGAAAATGGCCAGAAAGATCTCCTGCCCTCAACCCGATGGATTTCTGGTATTGGGGAGAACTTAAAGGGATGGTTTATGGAGATGGTCCAATAAAAACTGAAGCACAACCTCGCGAAAAAAATTTTAATGCGGCTGAAATAATAAATGAACAACTTCGAGGTCCTAGAGTCAGAAGAAACTGGGTTCGTCGTAATGAAGCTTGTGTGGAAAGTGGGGGACGACATTTTGAACACCTTCTTTAAACACAAAAAAGTGCAGTGTGGGTTTTAAAAAGAAAAACAATGTATGTATCAAAATTGTGTTCCCTATTTATAAGTGGATTTTTTTAATACGTTCAATAAACTTTCACACACCAGGTGAAGCGCTGAGACAGTGGTAAGTCTGTTTTTTTTAATTATTTGCATTTTACGAGTACATTATCAAATAATGAAATAATACCTAAGAGCCAAAAATTACAAACTCCATCTTTATTTACACTGCGTCCCGTCGTAATTTGCGTTTTTGCTTATTTTAACCCCGTCTATCACCCATTTAAATAATGACTATCATAACGTTTACACCCTGTAGATAGACCTTGGAGACGGAAACAGGCTACTTTTTGTTGCTAAAATAAAACTTCCAGTTAGAGGTACAAATTATGAGTTTTGTATATCTGCTTTTTTGATATAATGTAAATTGGAATAAAGAAATTTTGGTAATTCCACCTCTAAGTGGTGAAGTTGGGGTTAATACTCTTGAGGATGAGGAGCCTAGAATATTTCAAATTAGGCCAGCCTACAAGTAGGAGTATGTTTTGTCTAAAATTAAAAAAAATATTATAAAGAAATACAGAAATTATATCCTTAAGATGGGATGAGAGAAGGTTGAATATTTCTATGGGAAACCTTTCCACTTTTCAAGTCAAGTTTATAGAAATTTATCTCGAAAACTTCAACTCTATGGACAGGAACAGTCAGCTGATAACGGAATTTGCGGAAAGGCTGGATCAAGAGGAGCGGCTATGATTAGGGGCAGTATATACAAAAGTGTCAATCACGAATTATCGAAAACTATTTGAATATGAAATTTAACATTAACGTAACTTATGGGCAGGACATGTCAGCTAAAATGGGATTTTCCAACAAGGGCGTATTGAGGGCTAAAGGGTAATCGCGAGTTTCGTTTAAAAATCTTGGAAGATACCTAAAATTGCAATTAATTTAAAGATGTACTTAAATTTAGAATGTATTTTGGGCGAAAAGGGGCTTATGCTTTGTTACAATGTTATACAGGGTGGCCGATATGTAACATTTTTTTCATCTTAATCTTTTATTGAAACTTAGAAATCATGTATGAAAAATAATAACAGACAAATGTCTGCCTTTAGAAGCCGCTCAAACCTGAGCCCTCTTGATTACATTTTCCATCACTTTTTGGTAGGTTTCAGGAGAAATTATTCCAATCGCTTCCATAATATTGTTCTTCAGCTGCTCTACAGTATTTAGTTTGTTGACATAAACCCTATTTTTCAAGTATCTCCATGAAAAAAGTCAGGAGCCGTTAAATCTGGTGACCTTGGTGGGCAGTTGACATCAGCAAATCGAGAAATTAAACGTCCCGGAAATATTCTTCGCAAGAGATTCATTGTTTTCCTAGCAGTGTTTCCTCATGTTTTGCAGGTTAAATTGTTGTATTTGAGGAGCCAGAAAGTTTTGCACCTTATCACTGTAGTAAGAGAAGCACCTGCAGCGTCTTCAAAGAAGTAAGGCCCAATTACACCTCCATGCCAAACACCCGACCAAACTGTGACTCGACGAGGATGTAGTGGTCGTTGATAGATGACACGAGGGTTCTCTAATGTCCAGATACGACAATTCTGCTTATTAACAAATCCGTTCATATCGAAGTGGGCTTCATCTCTCATTATCAGTTGTCGGTAAAAATCGTTATTTTGTGTATTAAGCTGCAATATTGCATGTCTGTATTGTCGGTGACTTTCATGGTCACTACGCTGTAGTTTTTGGGTTAACTGAATTTTGTCTGGCCACAATGTCTTTTTTTTAAATAGTGCATAATGAAGTGCGACGAATACCCAGTTCTTGAGAACGATGTCTGGTACACGTCTCATGACGCTCCACTACACTTTCACGAACTCTCTCGATATTTTCCGGAGTTCGAACAGTTCAAACACGGCCCGACCTTGGCAAGTCTTTAACTTCACCTGTTTGTTCAAATTTCCGCACCAACTGACGAATCTTGTCGTAGCTTCCGAATCGTTGCAACAATAGACTCGTTATTTAAGTAAAACATTTTAACAATCCGGACGAGTTGTGGGATCATGTAGCGCTCCACGATGAATTTCACATGTATACTTTATCTGAAGTCACTTGAAACACTGTGAAATACCGGGTGCGTTTTATATATATTTAACACGCTCTGTTGCTGCAAAAATCGCCAAATTTCACAGCAAATATCCCCTGTATAAGATCAAAGGCAGTTTCACCGTTCCACGTGGAGTAAAGCACGCCTATGCGTGGACATAGCCAATGAGAAAGCGTGTATTTCAGAGCTCTGAACAAGTGCAGGTGGCTACTGAAAATTGAAACAGTTTAGCCAGTGCCGTGTAGCGGTGAATAAACGTGTTTTCTTTAGTCTGTCCATGTTTTTTCATAGATTTTATTAGTTTGTGTGTTTTTGACTTTTGAATACTCAGTTTACTTGTTGATTTAATTGTTGTGTTGATTGTTCTTGTGTGTCCCAAATATGGCTCTTTGGAGACCTTGGGAAAATGCTCCAAGCCACGAGGAGATGGTTGATGAACCTGTGCAGGCAGAATTCTTTCATAAAGATTTAGAGGAACAGACCCAAAGACCTAAATATGTACGATTGTCTGAAAAACGAAAATCCAGATTCCTCGCAAAATCAAATTTTAAACAGAATTTGTATCCTGACAAAAATCAGTCGGTCTACCATTTATCGGGTTATAAAAAGGGGAGATGTAGTCAACCATTCCTTCCACAGAAAGCGCATAGGGCAAAAATTAAAAAGAATAGACGTGGGTTTTCAGGAAGATATTCGTCGTATAATATACGGATTTTATAAAGAAAATTTGGTGCCCACGTTGGGAATGATACGGGATAAATTAAAAGATTATCCTGAAGATTTTTATAATTACAAATGCTTAGACTCACTGCACTGTATTGTAAAACTGTGTGGTTTTCAATACAAAAAAATAGATAAAAGAATGGTGATTATGGAGTCGTCTCGAATCGTTGAATTGCGCCAAGAATTTTTGCACAAAGTTAAAATCTATAGAGAGCAGAAAAGAAATCTGATTTACCTGGATGAAACGTGCTATGATACCCATGATGTTGTGCAGTACGGCTGGGTTGACGACAGCAACAAGTGCATTTTTTTTAAATGCACCATGCAATCGTGGAAAACGATTCATTATTCTCCATGCTGGCAGTGAAAATGGATTTATACCTAATGCCTTGCTGTTATCTGCCAAAAATATCAAATAATCATGTGCCGACTATCATGAGGACATGACCTCCGACTTATTTGAAAAGTGGATAGAGCAGCAGTTAATACCAAACATTTCCCCAAATTCAGTGATTATTATGGACAATGCGCCATACCATTCCCGACAGAAAAACAAAATTCCGAATACAGGCACAAAAAAACAAGACATTATTGATTTTATGAAGGATAAGGGAATGGAAATACCACAAAAATCAACCAAAGCCATATTATTGGATCTTATTAAAAGACAAAAATTTGAAAAAGAGTATGTTGTTGACA